CATGTATGATGGGATCTGTGACTTTAAACAGGCTCAGGCAGTGATCTTCTGGCTTTTAGCAAGGATACAGATGTGTTTAAAGCTTGAGAAGAACCAAGTAAATTGTAATGTGGGAAAGTTGGAGGAACAGAAACTGTATTTTCCACATAAGATATTACTTCAAAGATAATGCTTTGAATTCTGGCAATTTTATTTCTTCTTTTCTAATACTTATACCTTTGATTAATCAGCTTCTCTTGCTAGAATGGTGTTGATGGTAATGATGGTCATTCTGTCTCCTGATTATAAAGGGAATAATTTAATATTTATCATTAAGAATGGCTTATAATCTTCCTCATGTTAAAGAAGGTCCTTTCTTATATTTTATAAAGGGATTTTTTAAAAAAAATTACACATGGAATTATATTTGTGAGAAGATCAAATATCTTTCTTTAATGTGTCAATATGGCAAATTAATTTATAGATTTTTTCCTTGTCAACTTCTCTTTGCATTCCTGGAATGTATGCGTCTTTTAACAATACATTCTTCCAGAGGTTTGGGAGGCTGAGGCAGGAAAATTGCAAGTTCAAAGCCAGCCTCAGCAATTAGTGAGGCTCTAAACATCTTAATATGACCCTCTCAAAAAAGGATGGCTGATGTGGCTCAGCTTTTAAGGACCCCTAGGTTCAATCCCTGGTACAAACAACAACAACAAAAAACATTTAACAAATGTTAATAAACAAACAAAGAAAAAAACATTCTGATAAATTCACTTTAACAAAAATTTGTGAGTAACTTTTACGTTTTATGCTGTGGGAGAGATCACTGTTCTTTTCTTTGCTTCACTGTCCTAATTTAATTTTGATTTTTAGGCTACATTGACTAAAATCTCATGGAGTGAGTTGAGGAAAAGATTTCCTTTTCACATTCTCTGTAAGAGATTGAATAACATTGCATTGATCTACTCCTGGAATGTTTAAAAGAAAAATTGTAACATCAGCTGAGCCTTATGTTTTATTTATGTTCCAATTGATTCAGTTTCATTAAGAATTGTCAAATCATTCACATTTTCTAGTCCCTCTTAGATCAGCTTTGTAAAGTTGTAATTTTTCCAGAAATACTGTTTGGTATATTGGAAATATACTACTAAATCATACTTAACATAAATTACAAACTGCCAATGATTTATTAAAAATTTATTTATACAACTTCTATAAATTCTAGGAATTATTTTATCTAAATTTTCAAATTTATTGGGATAAATTTGTGTATCTCTTATTTGGTCTCCTCCAAACCTATAGTTATTTATTTATTTACTAAGTATCCCTAATATTCATTGGTGCTTACAAATTTTTTTTCCTACTGAAATTTTCTCATTGTATTATTAATTATTTCAAATAATTAACTTCTGACTTCTTGCACTTATCATTCTGTTGTCTTGGCCACAGCCTGCATGAGGAAGGAATAGGTAACCCTCATAGTGTGGGCTGGCTGGAAATAAAAGTCTGAAAAAGTAGTAGTAAGAGATAAAGACAAAGGACACAAGAAATATAGTTTGAGGGGGTGCTTTATGGGTGGAAGGGACCTGATGGGTCTGCTCCTAACAAAGGGGGAAAGCCTGTGAATACTTTATTTATAGTGAAACACACCAAAGAAATTTATGGTGAGGAGGGGTTCTTCACGGTAAACCAGAAGTCACAGGCTGTGGGGAAGCTGCCCTAATTGTGGATCTAGCACTTGTGCTGCAATTCTTCCTCCTGGAGGCAGCTGGTGCCACGGGGTGAGTTGGGGCACTGGTATGTCTCTCCACCTGCGTTTGAACCATGGGCTATCTGAGCCAATAATTCAGGGGTATCACAGAACTCTCTCTGAGCATAACGTGTGCCAAACCAAGGGAGCAGTTTAGAATTCTTAAATATATTTTAACCTTAATTAATATTTTTTGACTTGGTTTATTATGTTCAAAAAGCAGAATATGTTTGTTTAGTCTCCAAAAGAAACTGAGTTATAAATATAACACATTCTTCTTCCTTCTTCATCTAATTGGACTAATTGGATTTTTGTTCTTATTGCATATTTGTTTCCTCCTATAAAGGAACTTACAGGGCTAGGGACATGGCTCAGTGGTAGAGTTCTTGTCTAGCATGCTGAAGGCCCTGGGTTTGATTCCCAGCATCTAAGAGAGGGAGTGGGGAACAAACTTATGTAGTTAGAGTATTTATAAGATGGGTTATAGAAACCAAATATTTAACTATGAGTTTAATATTAATCTGTCTGGTTGGTAATATTTTCCCAGATTTTTGTATAAGAAATTTGGTTTATCAAACCCATATTTCTGGATCATATATTTTCCCATTTGTCATGCCTCTTTTTTTACCTTTATTTCTTTGTCACTTAACCCTTCTTTAAGGACCAGTTTCATTTTTACACCTTCCATAAAGCCTTTCCTTTTATTTTTATTTTTTTAACGTTTTGTTTTCATTGCAGTACCAGGGATTAAACCCGGGGATGCTCTTCCACTGAGCTGCATCCCCTGCCTTTTTTTATTGTTTAATCTTGATACAGAGTTGCACTAAATTGCCCAGGCTGGCCTTGAACTTGCAATCCTCCAAACTCAGCCTCTCAAATTGCTGGGATTATAGGTGTGTACCATCATGCCCAGATGAACTTTTAAAAACTATCACTTTCTTCAATAATTTTTTTGTTCTACAGACAGACACCCATTACCTTTATTTACTATACTTTCTGGAATATATTACCTTATTTTGGTACTTACAATTTTTTATGAATTTTTATCATTGTATTTAAGAAGCAGGCTCTAAAACTAGACTTAGGTTCCACTGAGTAGCTGCATAACCTTAGAGGAGCTAAACTCTCTATGGTTCAGTTTTCTCATTGAAAAATGTCGCTAATAATAGTATCTATCACAAGGGATTGTTGATAGAATGAAGGGAGTTAATGCATTTAAGACACTTAGACAATACTGAGTTCATAATAAGCACTTAGGAAGTATTTACTCTAAAATTCTACTAAGATTATAACTTGAGAAAGAAGAATGTAGCTTTTAATCTTTTTTGTGGTTCTTGTCTTCAGCTTTTATACCTCCTACTAAAGCAAGCACATAAGTTCTAGTAAATTTTTCTAAGACCTGTTGTATTTATTGGCAAAACAAAGTATTTTGTTCTATGAGTAGTAAGTAAATGTATCTGTTAGTTGTTTTAAGCAGTTACCCTACTCCATTTTCACTCTAGCTGTTGTTCCTTCCTCCACACTTAATTCCATCCCTTTGGTCACTGTCAGATCTGTTTCCTGAAACACTGTTCCCATCAAATTTCATTGTTCAACAGTGGTACCAATATTTACTGAGCAACATTCACCTTTCACAAAAGTTTTAGGACATATGTAGAATGTTATTTTTATACTGTCTTGCTTTCCAGATTTTTTGTATTTAAGCTTTATTTCCCAAATTTTCCTTCCCTTGAAGGAAAAACTTTATCTTAAATTTATTTACTTCTCAGAATATACCATATACACAGTTCATGGATTCATTAAATTCTAACTAAATTTAGTTGATATCACTGAAACCAAAATAACATTTTTAATAAGGTGGGAATGATTAATTTTTAATTTTAATTTTTATTGGTTCTTTTTAGTTATACATGACAGTAGAGTGTATTTTGATATAACTATATAAGCAGGGAATGTATTTTATTCTAATTGGGACATCATTCTTATGGATGTACACCTGGGTGGGATTCACAGTGGGGTATTCATACATGTACATAACAAAATTATGTAAGATTAATTCCATTACCTTTTCTTTTTCTATTCCCCCTCCCTTCCCTCCATTCCCCTTTGTCTAATCTGAACTTCTGTTTTCTCACCACCCCGCCTTATTGTGGGTTAGCTTCCACATATCAGTGAAAACTTTCGGTTTTTGAGGATTGGCTTATTTCCCTTAGCATAATAGTCTCCAGGTCCATCATTTACTGGCAAATGTCATAAAGGCTGAGTAATACTCCATTGTGTATATATACCACATTTTTTTAATCCATTCATCTTTTGATGTGCACTGAGATTTCATTTCACTCCAGTGAGAATGGCAATTATCAAGAATCCAAGTAACAATAAAAATGTTGGGAAGGATATGGGGAAAAAGGTACACTTATACATTGTTGGTGGGACTACAAATTGGTGCAGTCACTCTGGAATACAGTATGGAGGGAGATTCCTTAGAAAACTAGGAATGAAACCACCATTTGACCCACTCCTTAGCATATATCCAAACAATTTAAAATCAAATACTACAGTCATGCAGGCATTATAGCAGCATAATTCACAGTAGCTAAGCTATGATTATCTTGTTGAATAATAAAAGAAATGCAATTGTTCTTTCATTGAATAGCAGACTCTGCTATGTACACATAGACATTCTAATGCATCTATTTAAGAATTTTGCCTAATAATTAATAATTTTGCCTAAATGAGAATTTTCCTAATATCTCACTTTGATAATTTGCTTACTTTGAAGTGCCTCCTCAGAGTCCCTCTAAAGCAAGCTTTATTCTTCTTATCACCATAGGTATTCTTGCTTTCTCCGAGACCAGTTCTGTGATTTTCTTAAATCTTGCCTGAATAATAATAAATTTACCACTTTTTTACATGGAAAGATACAGGATTATCAATTTTTTTCTCCTTTATGCTTTAAGGCAAAAATAAAAATGCCAATTGACTTTGAATATTATAGCATTAAAAAAAAGTAGACCAGTGCCACAAGTTATAACTTTTGGGAAGCTTTGTATGAATTGTGGCAGTAGTCTCCATCAACACGCCTTTGCATCCTGGTTCCAGTCCATACCGCCACACTTTCCTCATACTATGCTGAGTGCCATTGTGGACTAAGTGGCCATTTTGTCTGCTTCTCTGTTCATGTCAAATCATCAGGAGTAGCCATAACTCAACTATGGGACATTTTGACTCTATCTGTAATGCAGCATGGTATATCTGAATTTTCAGGGCTAATGTCCGTATTGGCAGAAATAAGACCAAAGAATGACTTGGGGCATCCTTTCTGTGAAAATTTGAGATCTGGAGATTGGATGATCGATTATGTCAGTGGCCGGCTTATTTCACGTTCAGGAAATATTGCTGAAGTAAGTATTAAATAAGTAAGCTGTGTTCTAGTCTAAAATAAGCAAAGGCACAATAAGAATTATTATATATAGATATATACATTATATATATATATATATATATATATATATATATAATATTTACCTGTTTTCCTCCCTTCTTTGTGTTTCTAGTTTTAATACATGGAAATTTGATTCATGAATTATTGGATAGCACAGTTTCATGTTATGATTTATCTCTTAAAATATGCGTAGCCTGTGAACACCCCAAATTAACTTTTTAAATTATTTTTACAACAGGTTGGTAAATGGTTGCAGGCTATGTTCTTCTACTTGAAGCAGATCCCACGATACCTTATCCCATGTTACTTTGATGCTATATTAATTGGTGCATACACCACTCTTCTGGATGCAGCATGGAAGCAGATGTCAAGGTATATCCAACAAAGCTTATGTAAATAGGTGTGTTGCATAGAAACTATACACAGAGTCACTTTACACATGCTCTTAAAAGACCAAAGCATGAATTTTGGAGACTCAGAGCTGGAAAAGTTTTTTAAGTGGAGAGTAAATTTATTAACATCCTTTAGTCTGAAACATACAAAAACAAACCCATGTAAAATCTGTTCTATATAAAATATGTTTGGGAAAAATTAACTTGTTTTATGTTATTTGTTTCTATTTATTTATTCATTGATTTGTTAAATTTAATTGATATTAATGTTTAGAATATGTACATAGAGTTCTTTCTCTAATTTTCATCAATTAAAAGAAAAAATATTCTGGTATTATTATGAATGAAATCTGCCTTTTACAATGAAATTTTCTAAAATGAAACTACAAATGGAAATGAATTATGAGAGCCAGCAAGTTGATTTGGGCATGTTTTCAGATTTTTCAGAAAGAAAAAGCACTTCAATTCTGCCATTTGTGTTACAACAAGGCCTGGACTAAAGCCGGCTAAAATAATGGATGCCATGAAAGCAGTTTTGAAATCTAATCAAATTGAACATTTTTTTCCTGCTATATTACTATCTTTATACATTTGTGTGGAAAAATCATTTGAAGGGGAAAAACAGAATAAAACTGCTAAAAAGTTTTGTATTTTTACAGATCATATCACTTTCATTACAGCTTTGTTCAGAATGGTTCAACCTTTATGAAACACCTTTCACTGGGTTCAGTCCAAATGTGTGGAGTAGGAAAATTCCCTTCTCTGCCACTTCTTTCACCTTCCCTTCTGGATGTATCATATAGGTTGAATGAGATCACAAAGGAAAAGCAGCAGTGTTGTGCTTCTTTAGCTGCAGGTAAGGAATTTTGTAGAAGGTTAAAATGTATAAGTCAATAGTATTCAAAAGGAAAACTTACAAGAAAAAGACTTTTTTAAAAAATTAATGAAGTTATCCAAGACTGTATATTATTGCTTAGTAAAATTTCATAGATACTCCTAAAATACTAACCATGTTATTATTTAGTTATAACTGTGTATGAGGCATTTATGTGTGTTTTTATTGTATCTGGTTAATCCTTTTCTTCCAACTCATGGTATTATTTTAAATAATATTTAAAATATATGTTTTAAATCATTATTTTACTACCCATTTTCCTATATCTCTTCCCAGTTTTTAAAATAAACTTATCTAAAGATCATTTAAAGGTTTCCTATAAGTTACAAAACACAAAACTGATTTTAAATAATTATTATATGGGGATTGGGGTTGTGGTTCAGTGGTGGAATGCTTGCCTAGCATCTGTGAGGCACTGGATTCAATTATCAGCACTGCATATAAATAAATGAATAAATTTAAAGTCTATCAACATCTAATAAATTTCTTTGTTTTTTTTTTAATATTTTTTCAGTTGTTGATAGACCTTTATTTTATTTATTTATATGTGGTGCTGAGAATCTAACCCAGTGCCTCACACATGTCAGGCAAGTGCACTAACCCTGAGCCATAGCCCCAGCCACAAGTAATAAAAGTTTTAAGAAATTAATATTATTATGCATCCAGATGCTGTCAATTGAACATAAAATACTTCCAGCCATGCTTATTGGCATCTGTTCCTGAAAGTAGATTAAAAAATTCAGTCAAATAACAAATATGAGTAAGCAAAATAGGATAAAGAACAGGCTTTCTTTTTAAATAAATTTCCATCATATTTCTGGAAAATATTTAATTCTTGAGGTCACTGAAATTGAGAATTCTCAAAACTAACCTGGAAATATGTGAAATTGTAGAAAGTATTATATATTCATGGCTCCCTCTGTTAAATTTAAATTTCATTAAATTTGTATCTGCTCAGATCAAATGAAAAGGCTTCATGGTACCCAACAACTACAATAAAAATTACCTTTTCATTTAGAATGATCATAAAAAAATCATAAAACTCTTTTTTGGGAGTGGAGATGTAGCTCAGGGGTAGAGTACTTGCCAAGTATGTGTGAGGCCCTAGGATCAATCCCCGTCACCACAAAAATAAAAGAATAAAACAATTTTATTAAAGAATGAAATTAAAACTCTGGTTTAGTTCTATAATTGTTTCATATTTTCACTTGACTGTTTGATCTTTTAGTACCTGTCATTTCCCAATGAATCCATGCAAATACTCACGAAACTGAACTGAGCCATTGTGGGGAAAAAACATGCTGATATGAAGAATTTTAGGTTTTAGCCTATTTCATAGAAGCCTATTACATCAAATAGTAATCTCAGTCTTTGATTGTATGCTGTTGCTGTTAAATACCCCTAATACATGCATTTATTTATAAATTGTATACCAATATATGTCAATGGTACCTGATACACTTACATCCAGTATAGTATAGTAAGTAAATAGAAATTCTGGTATTTTCTTCTAGCATGGAATGTTTTGCCTAGTGTTTACTGGCAAAAATAGAATAAACTCAGATTTGCAGGTAGGTTTTTTGGAGGTTCATTTTAAAATGGCTGGGAATTCATTTCTTTGGTGATAGTATTGCAAAACATGTTATAATTATAAACTTTTATAATAATTGACAAAGCAGAAATTATTCCAAAGATATATGATCTATAAGTTGTATACTCTCAGAGATGAAAAGGTTAATATGGGTGTGTGGGGAGGGAAGAATAGATGTTTGTTTGTTGGATTAGTCAAAGGGGAGTGAACAGAAGCAGAGATGGTAATAGGAAGCCCGTAGAATGAATTGGGAAGTAACTTTCCTGTGTACATTATGAACACATGACCAGTGTAACTCCACATCATGTACAACCACAAAAATGGGAAGTATATTCCCTGTATATATAATATGCCCAAATATACTCCACTCTCATGTATATCTAAAAAGAACAAATTTAAAAAGTTAATATAAATATTTCCACATATCAGTGATACAGATTTTATAGCCTTTCCTTTTTAACAAAGACAGACTGTATATATTTTAGGATATACAAATTTAAAGTCACCTTTGAATCTCTCTATCTAGGTTTCATACAAAATGTTGAATGGGTTAAACTATAGGAATGCTGTCTGACACAGACTGCTACCTATATGTTAGCTGCTGTCATTGTCATCATCATCAAAGTTTGTAGCCATCAATCATGTATATCAACCATTATTTAAAAATACACAGTGTGGGCTGGGATTGTGCCTAGTAAGAGTGAGGAACTGGGTTCAATTCTCAGTTCTGCATATAAATAAACAAAGTCCACTGACAACTAAAAAATATATTTAAAAAAAACACAGTGTGTTTAGGGAAACTCTGTACTATCATTTTGGAGATAGCATAGAAAAAAATGTCTAATGTTGCCCTTTGTTCCAATATTTCTCTTTTTCTTTCTCTCTCTTTTTTTTGCGGGGGGGTCCCCTTTGGCACTGGGGATTGAACCTAGGGTGCTTAACCACTGAGCCACATCTCCACCCTTTTTTAATTTTTACTTTGAGACAGGGTCTCACTAAATTGCTTAGGGCCTCACTACGTTGCTGAGGCTGGCTTTGAACTTGTGATCCTTCTGCCTCTATCTCCTGAATTTCTGGGATTATAGGCCTGTGCCACTGTACCTGGCTGCTTCACCATTTTTTGACTATTTTTTTTAGTACAAATAACAGCTAACAATCATATTTCTTCAAATGTTTTATAAAAAAACAACTGGACTGGGAATGTAAATCAGTAGTAGAGCACTTGCCTAACATGTACAAGGACCTTTCTTCAATTCCCTGAATCACAGGGGAAAAAAAAAATAAAGAAACTCAAATCAGTTTAAAAGTAAAATTTTAGAATTTTTCCTATTACATATCCTATTTTTATCTTACACATAAAAGTTGTAATTACCAGGAATGTTCATTGTTTAGCATACAAAATCCCGTTTTCATCTGCAAAAAAATTTTATGAAAATATAACACTTTTTAAAAATTCATTTATTTTTAACTTTTCCTGTTTTTGAGGGGGCAGGTACTGAAGGTTGAAACTAGGTGTGCTTTATAACTGAGCTTCATCCTAGCCCTTTTTTATTTTATTTTTTTTATTTTGAGCCAGGATCTCATTAAGTTGCTTAGGGCTTTGCTAAATTGTTGAGACTGGCCTCAAACTCGTGAACTTCATGCTTCAGCATTCCAGATTGTTGGGATTACAGGCTTGTGCCACCACACCCAGCCAAAATATATTTATTTTCAGTTGACAAACATTATATTTATTTATTGTATACAAAGTGTAACAGTATTAATTTATTTTAAATTAATAGGAAATTTGGTAATATGTTTGACTCCAGAATAATAGAGTAATATACGTATTTAGTTGGTTATCATTCAGGTAATAATCATTTCATATTTAGATTTATTTATTATCCTTAAAGGCATGGTAGAATCTTTAAAGCATGTACTTAGTATCATATTATATTACTTTATATGTTAAATATTTGATTTCTTGCTTTTAATTTATTAAAATAAAGGTTTTTATCTTTTTAAAGATATCTTGAAATCAGTTGTCTAGCAATCTTAAAATCAATTGTCTAGCCCTTGTTCTTGGGGCAGAGGATGTCACTCCGTGGTGAAGTGCTGGCATAGCATACAGGAGTCCCTGGGTACTAGTCCCAGAACCTCAACAAAAAAAATCTAGCACTGTTTTCTAATCTCCTTTGGGTCTTTTAAAAATCTGGTAAATCAGATGTGGTGGTACACACTATATTCCCAGCATCGGAAGCTGAAACTGGAGAATGCCTGTGCAACATAGAAAGAGCCTATCTCCAACAAACAAGCAAAAAATAACCTGATAAGAATATAGAATTGGGGCTGGGGTTGTGGCTCAGCAGTAGAGCACTTGCCTGGCATGTGTGGGGCCCTGGGTTTGATCCTCAGCAACACATATAAATCAATAAAATAAAAGTATATGTCCAACTACAACTAAAAACTGAATATTTTTAAAGAATTGCTCTGGGGGTGGTGGCACATGCCTATAATCCTATTGACTCAGGAGTTGGAGGCAGGAGGATCATGAGTTTAAAGCTAGCCTCAGGAATTAAGACATGCTGACCCTAAGGAATATAGTGAGACCCTGTCTCAAAATTAATAAAAAAGCCTGGAAATTTGGCTCAGTGGATATATATATAAATTTCATTCCATAAAAGTTGACATACCAGGCATACATTTTGCAGATAATTTTAGAGAGTTTGCAGACACATTGTAACTTACTCTTCTACCCCATGTTTAGAGTAACTATTGTGTGATAATACAGTTTATTATATTTATATTTACATATATTTATCTTTTCTGTTAGGCTTACCTCATTTTTCTTCTGGTCTTTTCCGCTGCTGGGGAAGGGATACTTTTATTGCTCTTAAAGGTTTACTGCTGGTTACTGGACGATATTTAGAAGCCAGGTAAGAGATCATCTAAAAAGTTGCAATGTAAGTTTATGTCTTAATGTTTTCTATATGTTCTTCAAACCTTTCTTCTGATCCATCTAATCTCAACAATTTTTAAGATTAAATTTGTGGGGAGGGATCCATTCAAACAAAAACAAAAATGTTTAGTTTTGAGAATTATTTATATACTACTGATGGCATTCCTTTTTTATTTTATTTTTTTTATTTGTATGTGACAGTGGAATGCATTACAATTCTTATTAAACATATAGAGCACAATTTTTCATATCTCTGGTTGTATACTAAGTATATTCACACCAATTTGTGATGGCATTCCTTTTTTAAAATAATTTACAGTCAGGCATGGTGACACATACCTGTAATCCCATGGCTTGAGAGACTAAAGCAGGAGGATTGCCAGTTGAAAGCCAGCCTCAGAAAATTAGTAAGGCCCTAAGTAACTTAGTGAGACCCTTTCTCCAAAAAAAGAAAAAGAAAAAAAAGAAAGAAAATTTACAAATGTATTTATCGAGATATAAAATATTCCTCCCATGCTCCCGCTCCCTATCCCACTCTAGATAGGGCAGAGGGTTGGAAGAGAAAGGAGGGGCATAGGTTATTAATGATGGTGGAATGTGATGATCATTATTATACAAAGTACATGTATGAAGATATTAATTGGTGTGAATATACTGTGTATACAACCAGAGATATGAAAAATTGTGCTGTATATATGTAATAAGAATTGTAATGCATTACGCTATCATATATAAATAAAAGAGATATAAAATATTTATGTTTTTATTAATTTAATCTGCTCCTAGGTATCTAGCCTATGAAATAATTTAAAACACACAAAAAAGTCATATTATATGATGATATTGATCATACAATCATTTATAATTATATAAAAGGAAGAAATAGCCTTTACAATTAACATAAAATATTTACATTGACCAGAATGAAAAAATTACAAAATTATACCTCTGACACACAAATGTGAAATCTAGTAATTAAAAATATTTGGATATAAGCCATTTATAAAAATATTACTGTATAAAAATATTAGAAGGAAGTATATGTCTTTTGATTTTAAAATATGATTATGGTTTTATAATTTATGATTTTAAAATATAATATTACATTTAAAATATATTAATATGTTAATATTAATATAATGGCACCATTTTTAACATAACGTAATGAACCTTTGAGTTTCTAGGTAACTTTTTGCCAAACTCATTGGCAAATATTGTATGTTCAAAATTACATTTTATATATTAATTTAAAATCATTAATTTATTATTTCTAGCAGTAACATTCAAATACTAACCCTGCTAACCCAAGTTAGCTGCTAACAATCACTTATAGTTCTTTTATCCTTCAGTAAATCAATAGAAATAGATTTTATATTTAAAGAACATATTTTGTGATATCTTTGAATTAATTTCATCTTTTATTTCAACTTACAGATAGTGGTATAAATTTTACCTCAAACTTAGTACTCAAATTAAGCAGATATTAACATTTGGTTATATTTTCTTCAGATCTTTCTGTTTTTGCTTGAAAAGAAATAAACCATATCAGGTATATCCAAAGCTTCATTTCTCCTTTTCTTCCTTTCCTCTCTAGAATTAATGACTATCTTATAATCAGGGTTCACTATTTCCATGTATATTTTTAATGCTTTAGACTTTTGTGTGTATTCAAGTATATGCAAATTACATGTGATCTATGTTGTGTTGTATATATTCAGTGTACTATAACATATACACTGTATAAATATTAGATGTATTTTAAAATTATACACAAATATGTGTATAATTTCATGAGTTTCTTATAGACCAGATAGACATGAATAGTTGTATACATTAGTATTATCTGTTTTAAGCTTTTACAGAAAAAGTTTTTATTATACATCTCCTTTTATGACTTGTTTACTCAATCATTTTGTCTTGGGTATTTTTGTTCACATAAATCTACTTCTTTAATTTTATATGATAGAGAGTGTTTCTCCATATATAAACAGCATTTAATCATTCCTCTACTGAGTGGCTTATTTTTTTGCTGATAAAAGCAATGTAATGATGAATATTCTTATAAGCATCTCCATGTACACAGAAGTAAGGATTTCCCTAGAGTATATTTAGAAAGAAATGTAACTACTGTTCAATTTTACGTCTCTAATTTTTAAGATGTTACCAAGTTGATCTTCAGAATAGTTGTCCTGGTTTATTATATTCCTATAAATTGTATAAATATTTTAAATAAAATATTAATTTTCATTTGCTATATATAATATGTACCGGTTATAGAACATTTGTTTTATACATGTTTTGGGTTTTTTAGGTTTTAATATGACTGCAGGGGTTGATGACAAAACAGGATTTATTTATGGAGGAAATTGCTTAAATTGTGGCACATGGATGGATAAAATGGGAGAAAGTGACAGAGCTAGAAACAGAGGAATCCCAGCCACTCCAAGGTAGTGTTTATTTTAAAGTGCTTTTGTAATTATGCCCTTTTTAAAAAAAATATTTTTTAAATATATATATTTTAGTTGTAGGTGGATACAATACCTTTTTTTTTATTTTTATGTCATGCAGAGGATCGAACCCAGTGCCTCAGGCATGCTAGGTGAGCGCTCTATCACTTGAGCTACAACCCCAGCCCCTAATTATGCCCTTTTAATTTACCATTTCAGTTTTTAAAAACACATACTTGTAGAATCTTTTACTCTATTAATGATGTATTCTTCATAGTAAATCAATAAAAATCTGCCTCTCTTCCTCTCTTCTATTTTCTGACTCATCCTTTCTTTCTCCTTGTCATGCAGATATGTTCCTTTTGATATATGTTATATAACAAAGCTCTCTGTTCTTTTTTTTAGAAATTATCAAGGTTTTAGCCTCTGCAAGTACTTCAAAATCAAGTCTTATGATCTATTATCCCAATGGTTAATATTTCATTGTGCATATCTTTTGTAAATATGAGCAACCATCAGTTGTTCTGTCTTTTATAAAGTCTTTTCACTTCATAAAAAGGGAATCTTTTTTCTTCGTAATTCTTTAAACTTTTGTGCCAGAATTTGTCATTTTTCTTGTTTTATTTCAGAAGCTATCAACAAATAGCTTCTTGTACTATATTAAGCTGAGAAGCTCTTTTCTTCAAATTTTATCTTCAGTCAGAATTATCTAAAAAATAATTTTTAAATAGTTGCTACTGGCCTGAGGGGTGTAGCTTCCTGGTAGAACACTTCTCTAATTTGGGTGAGGCCGGGTTTCAGTCCCCAGCGAAATTATATATTTCTTATAAAGTTAGGATTTCTTAGTAGATAGTTGCTTTTACAATGAAATGGTTATACTATTTATCAGAATTGTTTATCAAATTCCTTCTTAAAATAGTGCCTAAACAAATCCTACTTAGAGAATAAAATTTATTTTTAATTTTAGAGATGGGTCTGCTGTGGAAATTGTGGGCTTGTGTAAATCTGCCATTCATTGGTTGCTGGAATTATCCAAAAAAATATTTTTCCTTATCATGAAGTTAGAGTAAAAAGACATGGTAAGCTGCTCCTTTTATTTACAAAGAAACTTCTAATACTGTCTGTATTTTTAACTATGTACTCATCATTTGATGCAGTTAGCTAATATTAGAAAACCATAAATTTCAAGAAGAAAGAAAAATCATTAATCTACTCTATGGAAATTGTAGAAAATCTAGTTACTAACCATATTTTTGATAGCAGTTTAAACTGAGGTAAGAAAAACAACATAGTTACTGCCTTATTGTGCTTTTCTTTTATCTTAGTGTGACTGTGAACAGGTTCTATTTTCATGAACAATTTTGAAATCTTTACATCTTTTTTGAGAAAATTCTGTCCCATTGAAATATTATTTGAGCCAGATAAATAATTTAAAATTTTGTAATTCATTTGTTAAAAGTAAAAAGAAATGGATGAAATTAATTATGTTTCATTTAAGATGATGTGTGTGAAATATTATTCAGTATGTAGTCAATATAAAATTATTCCTGAGCTATTTTATATTTTGGGAAGTACTAAGTTTTTGAAATCCAGTAAATGTTTTATATCACATCTCAATTTAGGCTAGCTACATTTTCAAAAAGTGGACAATTTATTTCTCCCTAGTAGATAAAAAGTGTACTAAATACGACTTTTTGGCTCTTGTTAGAGGTTTGAATTGCTTTAAATGTCTGAAACTGCCATGTCTTTTCATCATTTTCCAGGGAAAGTTGTAACAGTCTCATATGAAGAATGGAACAGAAAAATACAAGACAACTTTGAAAAACTGTTTCATGTTTCAGAAGATCCTTCTGATTCTAATGAGAAGCATCCAAATCTAGTTCACAAACGTGGCATATACAAAGACAGTTATGGAGCTTCAAGTCCTTGGTGTGACTACCAGCTAAGGCCTAATTTTACCATAGCAATGGTCGTGGTAAGTGAAGTGTTTGTTACTGTCCAAATTGTAATAGAATTTACTTAATTTATTTTTTATTTTTTACTGTTTTCATTGAACTGCAGAAAAGAATATTGCTTACTAGTTTTATATAGTCTTTTATAATTAAAAAGGTCTGCTTATCACCTTTAACATTTACCAATCAGTATCAAAAATAGAAAACAATGGAAGATGATCAATGAAGTGTTTTCTTGATGTATTTTTCACATCCTGAATACATTTAGAAAATGATATTTGTGCAAGACACTGTGCTTGGATTTTGCTGTTTATGCCAAATCCAGCTGCTTCAATGAGCCCCTGACCCACCCAGTTGTCCTGAAAGCTAAAGATGTCTGTATTTCCAGTCATCTGAGCCACAACCAGTGCCTCAGCATGCTAGATGGGAAGTTCTGGAGTAGTGAATTACCAGGAGTAGCTTAATTAATAAATTATGTATAGCCAAGGATTCTAGAGTCTCTCCTTTTTAAATTCTGCCTAAACTATGAGGGCAATAAAATAGTGGTTTGTGTTTGTCCATGCCTGCCTAGCTGTTTCCATTTTGTCAAAAACATAACTAAGCATGGTATTATAAATTACAGTAGAATGAAAAACACACAGGCACACAGGACAGCTTTGGTTCAATGTGCATTTGATTTTATTAATCATTAACATTAACTGTAGGTCAACCACCAAAATTAATGCAGATCCTCCTCTCCTTCTTCTTTGTATCACAAGTAACTTTACACTGTCTACATTTTATTATGATCCTAGAAGCAGAAAGTGGGTTCAGATAAACCTTAAAGGAAACTCTTGTAAATATTATAAAGAATCAATTACATGAGTTGAAGTGAGTTCTATATTCCTAATAACTATGGCAACTTCCTATTGATCTAGTACATTTTTGAAGAATACCCACACATTTTCCTAACTTCTAAGGCCTAGAACAATGCTTCCAAGTTAGCCTCATGGAAATAAATCTGGTTAGGCATCTACTCTTAAATTCTGCCCACACTGTATTTTTAAATATATTCATTCTTTTTCAAGATGATGATTTGTATATGTAGGTGGAAAGTAATTCTTCTGTGATGTGAAAAAGTTGTGTGTTTGTTTTTGGCATTCATTAGGCCCCTGAGCTGTTTACTACAGAAAAAGCAGGGAGAGCATTGGAGATCGCAGAAAAAAAATTACTTGGTCCCCTTGGCATGAAAACTTTAGATCCAGAGTAAGTTGGAATCTAATATTAAGAATGTTGTTAGTTTTATATTTAATCCAAATATATTAACACCAGCTGTTAATTTTTCTTATCGATAACATCTCCAAAATTTCATTCAGACTGAGTTTTTAAAAGCGTCATCTGTACTTTCATTAAGCATCAATACTCAGAATGCCTCTGTCTTATTCTGTATTCAATAATGAATTAGAGTTTTAGTTTTTAAACTAATGCCATGAATATTTTCTGATGTACATTTTTCTTATCATAAAGGTGGTAAATGATTATTATAAACATTAGAAGTTACAGATATATAAAGAAAAACATGAAATTACTTTAAACCCCTTTATCTAGAAGTAAGCATCATTATCATCTGATCTATCTGTGCATTTTTGTACAATTTGGACCATATGGGCATATACCTAAGAGAATTTATGCAAAACATTACATGAGGTCAATCCCCAGCACCACAAAAAGAAAAAAAATTCATTCCCTTGCTTCCTTTCTTCACCTCAATTCTACTCCTGAAAGGTGGTCATTATTTTTTATATTGTTTCTACTAATAGCTATTTCTACATTTCTAAAAAAAAAGTATATGCTGCTGTTTTATGATATTTTAAGTATTAGCTATTATTCACATATAGTGATGACAGGTGAGGATTTAATTCTGTTCTCAATATTAGTTATCTCCATCCTTTCTTTGTAATTATACTACTCTTTTTACTTATATCCATAAATGATTTCATTTTTATTTTACAGTTGTGGGTTTATGCCATCATGTATTTCTTGTCCTTTCCAACTTTTTTTTTCTTCAGTTTCTAATAACCCTTCTGTTTTTCCTTTATGATTTTTCTTTAAAACTTGATAGTTGTTATCAACTTGCTTTCTGTATGACAGAACCTCACCTTTGTAGAATTTTCCTACTTTACTATGTACTCATTTCCATCACGAGATGCAAAATTTTGTATGTTTTTTCTTAACTACATTCTGAGACTCTCATATTTTCAGAGTAGTTAAGAAGCACTGATCAAAACTAAAACACAAAGTTTATTTTTGTGGCCACATCTATCTTACTTAAAAAAAAACCTTTGTATTTAAATTAAATCGAGTATACATAGCCCTTGTATTATCTGTTGCAATAATTTTGTAATATTGTTTGCTGCATAAATATGTTATAAATTCTACATACTATCAGAATGTATGTTGAATTGCTATTTGTAGTCTGATGATATGCCAAATATGATTTTAAAATAACTTCATGGAGAAGTTTCAAAAACAACGTTTATAATCTATAACCAGTAAAACCTTATCTATAATACTTAGTAATTCAATTTACTATATGGCCATTTCAATTATTATTCATATATTAGAGACCTTTTGAAATACTTGACTTTAAACCAATGGTTAGTGTCAAGCTAAGTCCTGGAAGGCAAGATACCTGAATATTTAATATTTTTTATATTAGTCGGTATTTGTTAATCATTTCTGAACACATCGCTAAAGTCCTCTGGACTCATTATATTCTTATTTAAGGTTAAATTATGTTTTAATGCTGAGCTTATTCTATGAATTGGAAGATAACATGATTATTTCTCTTAGCATTGCTATTGAAATGTTTTTAATGCTTTCTATGATATCTGAGCTTCTTTTATTTAACTTAAGTTCCAATCATTTTGCACTGATATGGTTTACTGTGGAATATATGACAATGCCTTAGACAATGACAACTACAATGTTGCTAGAGGTTTCAATTATCACCAAGGACCTGTAAGAATTTAATTTTTCTCTGAGTTTTCAGTTATTTTTCAAATAGTTGTAGATATTCACAGTTCTTTTTCTTTCCTTTACTTTTAAATTGTCTTTTTTCAGGAATGGCTATGGCCTGTTGGATATTTTCTTCGTGCAAAGTTATATTTTTCCAAATTGATGGGTCCGGAGTGTAGTGCAAAGACAATGTTTTTGGTTAAAAACGTTCTTTCTCGACATTATGTTCATCTTGAGAGGTAAGTTGTCATGGGCATGTAATGTCTATAACTGGTGTGTCCTCAGTTCATTAGATATTAGGTAAACTAGGTTTCCTTAGGATTCATTTCTCTGTGCTCTAGGTATCCCAATTAAGCTTGAAACCTTTCTTCTTTAACATGGCATCGTGGAAATTTTACCTTCCCTTCATTACTTTAGGTAGTAAGTTACTTAAAGCTAAGGATTTGATATTGTATGATTTGAACATATGCAATAGTCTTTGATCTTCAAAATTTAGCTCGTATTTTTAGAATGTGGTTAGCAAAGAATAAATACAAAAAACAAATACAAAAATACAAAAAACAAAAATATTTGAATCAGGCCTTTTGAACTAGTTCAGGTATATATATATAAATATATGTATATATAACAATTTTCAAAAATGTTCCAATTATAGTTAAAATATTGGAATTTGCCTTTTGACTGTTATTTCAGAAACAGTTTCTCACCTCCTCTGTCCTACTTATTAGCAGATTAACAGTGTCAGAGTTACATATTTTTCTAAAATGGTACAAATTTCATCAAGTCTATCTTAATTTCTCAAATTCTAGATTATGCCTTCATTTTATTGCTCAGACTAATTATGCATAATTGGCATAAATTGTATCACCTCTCTTTCAAGAACATAAGGGACTTCAAACTATCATGGCAAATATTGCATGAAAATTGGTTTTCATTAGCTTAAATATACTCACAGAAAGCCCAACTCTGTCATTGCCCTGTACTGTTTCTGGGGGTTTTGCATTTATTTTCTCTTTGTTCCCTTTTATCTGTTAAAAGTAAGACTATCTGGCATGCATGGGGTCATTCTACTTTTACCTGTCATCTCATCACTTCAGACCTGTTATGAGACCTTGTTCCAGTAATTAATTATCTTCTCTTGGTATTCCACTGTATCTTTCCTACTGAAGCTACAGAGATATCTGTCAGCCCATTCTAAAACAAAATCCCTTCATATAGTTATTAACTCAAACCTGGTCCTGTCTCTCTTACCAGCCCATGTCCCCTTCAGGAGTAACCTCTTTTTTCTTTCTCCATTTTGACCACCCACTTAGTCTATTACCACCTTCATCTGGCTTTCGCCCTCACCACTCTGGCAAAGCCACTCAACAAGATCTCTCCTAGTTTCCAGACCCCATGACTTCCCTTCAGTTCTCTACTTTGAGCTGGCTATTGCTTTCCTTTTTTCATGAAAAACCTTATGGTACTATTAGTATTAGGTTTCCCTTGTTAACATGGTAGAACTAATGGTAATAACAACAAATGATATTCATTGATCACTTAACCATGTTGTAGGCATTATTCTAAATTTATGTATGTAAAATGACTCATTTAATGCAAACAACTATGTAAAATTGCTACTGTTACCATCATCATCATCTCCACCACCACCACATATTACTGTTATCCACTTGTCCACTTACACACTGTGTGACCATGAAGAAGTTGTTTAACTTCTCTAAAGCTTGGTTTTCTCATCTGTATAGAGTGAGATGGGATCTTTGGAGGTTGGATTGTTTCAAGGACTGGTATATTAACATATGTTACATAGACAAGATAATAAGACAGATATGAGCTATCATTAATTATCTTCATTTTATAAGTTAAGAAGGTGAAGTAACTTGGACAAAGTCAAACAGCAAGTAATCTACTTTAGCTTTTACTAAAATCCAGGCAGTCAGGTCCTCCAGGCTGTGCTCTTAACTACACTATTAACTCTGTTTACTCTTTCTCTGGCTTTTATTTCCAGCACCTAAATATGCTCATTCTCTAAAAATCCAAGGGATTTTGTTTGTTTGCTTGCTTATTTCTTGTTAGTGTTTTTGCTTTGCAATACTGATTTCTGAACTCAGGGCCACACACATGTCTGGCAAGCACTCTACCTGTAAACTACATCCCCTGCCCAGGCAGGCTTTGAACTTGTGATTTTTCCTACCATAGCATCCTAAGTAGCTTGGGATACAGATGTGTACCCTGGTTGCCTCTTGTCCTTTCTAATACAGGTGTTTAGTGATATACATTTCCCCTTAAGTATCAGTTTATCATATTCCACAAATTCTGATATGTTGTATACTTATTTTCATTTATTGAAGTACTTCCTTTTCTTAAATTTTTTTATTCTTTTTAGTTTTACTTAACAGTAGAATGTATTTTGACATATTATACATACATGGATTATAACTTCCCATTCTTGTAGTTGTGTATGATGTGGAGTTACACTGGTTGTGTATTCATATATGAACATAGAAAAGGAATGTCTTCTGTCTTTCCACCCTCCTTGCCTTGCCTTCATTCCCCTTTGTCTAATCCAATGACTTTCTATTCCCCCACCCCTTATTGTGTGTTAGCTTAACAGAGAGAACATTCGGCCTTTGATTTTTTGGGATTCATTTATTTCACTTAGCATGATAAGTCTCCAGCTCAATCCATTTAACAGACAAATGCCATAATTTCATTCTTCTTTATGGTGAGTAATATTCCATGTGTATATATACCTCATTTTCTTTATCTGTTCATCTGTTGAAGGGCACCTGGGTTAGTTCCATAGCTTCACTATTGTGAATTGAGCTGCTGTAAACATTGAGGTGGCTATATCACTGTAGTATGCTGTTTTTCAGATCCTTTGGGTATATACAGAGGAGTGGGATAACTGGGTCCAATCGTGGTTTTATTCTAAGTTTGGTTGAAGTACTTTCTGTTTTCTCCTTTGATTTCATCTTTCACTCATGGGTTATTTAGAAATTTATTATTTAGTTTTCAAATGTTTATGAATTTTCCAGAGCTATTTCTATTATTGTTTTTAAAATTGAGTCTATTGTAGTCAAGGAATATACTCTGTGTGACTCAAATCCTTATAAACTTATTAGTAGTTATGATTCAGAATTTTCTGTCTAGGTAATTCATCTGTTTTCAGTTGCAAAGAATATATATTCTGGGGTTGGGGATGTGGCTCAAGCGGTAGCACGCTCACCTGGCATGCGTGCGGCCCGGGTTCGATCCTCAGCACCACATACAAACAAAGATGTTGTGTCTGCTGAAAACTAAAAAATAAATATTAAAAAAAATTCTCTCTCTCTCTCTTGAAAAAAAAAAAAAAAGAATATATATTCTGCGATCCTTAGGTGGCGTGTTCTAGAAATGTCAGTTGGTTCAAGTTGGTTGATGTTCAAATTCCTTAAGGGGTTTTCATCTCCTTGTTCTATGAATTGCTGACAAAGGAATATTGCAATCTCCTGCTGTACTTGTTTCTGTGTGCTGTTGTATATGTTTTTGCTCCAGGTGTTTTGAAACACTATTATTAAGTATATAAACATTTATGAAATCACCTTCCTTATCACTGATACTTCTCTGCTCCAAGGTCTACTTTCTTTAATATTAATATAGCACTCCAGATTTCTTTTATTTGTTACCAACATATATTTTTCCATCCTTATATTTTCAAACTATCTGTGCCTTCTCTGGCTCTGACATCCCCTGAACAGATGTCCTGAGACATAAATGCCCTTCCCATATTGTCTTACACTCCACACTAGGCAACCTCTTCATGAAAGTGCCTTCCTTACATCACTTGAGTTCAGATTACTCTCAACCACCCCCACACCTGTTGTGACCTCCACCTTCTTCCTTATACCTCTTGAGCGCTGACATCTTGCTTTGAAGTACTTGTAATCTGTCTTAGTCAGCTTTCTCACTGCTGTGACCAAAAAGACCTGACAAGAACAGCAGAGAGGAGGAAAAGTTTATTTGCGGGCTCACTGTTTCAGAGGTCTTAGTCCACAGAGAGCTGGCTCTATTCCTTGGGGCTCAGCTCCATTCCTTAGGGCTTGAGGTGAGGCTGAATATCAGGGCAAAAGGGTGTGGTGGAGAAAAACAGTTCAAGACATCACAGCAGGAAGTAGAGAAAGAGCTCTACTCCTCAAGGACAAAAATATATATCCCAAAGTCACATTCCCAGTGACCAACCTCCTCCAGGTACACCCTTCCTGCCTACAGTTACCAGTTAGTCCCTGTCAGGAGATTAATTCACTGTTTGGGTTAAGGCTGTCATAACCCAACCATTTCACCTCTGAATCTTACATTTTCTCACATGAGCTTTTGGAGAACACCTAATCTAAACCATAACACTATCCTTTCCTTCTTTTCTCCTCCTCTCTCTTATTGTAGATACCCCCTTTGTTCTGCCTGCCTAATGAATTTAGGGATGATTTTTTCAGGAAAGGAGACTTCTTTATACTAGTGTGGGTATGTTCCATGTACTAGTGTCCACATTTAATTGTGAGCAGCATAGTTTTATAATCTTATAATTTTAGTAATTTTATAACCTTGTTTTGTTTCATAATATCAGTAGGACCTTGTTATGGCCACGGCTGCCATAACAAAGCGCCACAAACTGAGTGACTTCACAGAAGCTGTTAAACAACAAGATATTGTGTCAATTTCTGCAGCCAATAATCTGAAATCAAGGCATGGGCAGGGCCATTTTCTCTCTGAAGTCATTAGGTCTGTGACAGCAAACCTTCAGTCTTCACTGGACATTCCTTTTGTGTGCATGTTGGTGTCCAAATTTCTCCTGTATAAGGATGCCAGTCATATTGGATTAGGGCCCACCTTACCCCAGTATAACCTCATCTTAACTAATCATATCTGCTGAAAACTAATCATGAATGTGGGCGATATAGTTCAACCACTTACAGATTACACAACTATCCAACTTCAGAGATTTGGCATTTCGCTCTGAAGTAACTTTAATACTTGGAGACATTTAAATAATTTTTCTATATTTTACATTTCTATTTGATAGATTTTTTTAAGGAATATAATACCAGGCTAGGGTCGTAGCTCAGTGGTAGAGTGCTTTTCTAGCACATGTGAGGCACTGGGTTCATTCCTAAGCACTACAGAAAAATAAATAAAGGTATATGTTCATGTACATATACCTTTATTAAAAAATGAATATAATACCTAGCTTCTTTGATAATACCTATCAAAAATAACTCATATTCATCTTATGGAATATTTTCCTATTTAATTATGAAATATTTCCTATATACAGAAGAATATTTGTAACACAGCTGAGCTCCAATGAAAAATAAGGAAATTAATATATTCTCACAACCCCACTTAAGAAAGAAACATTATGGGCTGGGGTTGTGGATTAGCTGTAAAGTGCTGACTTAGCATGGCGAGGCCCTGGGTTCAAAGCACCACATAAAAAAACAAATAGATGTTGTCTATCTACAACTAAAAAAATATTAAAAAAAGAAATATTACAAATTTCTGTATTTTTACTTTTTTGAAATTTGCTTCATATTTAAGGATGTATTTTGAAACTAAGAATAAATTAGATACAATAATAGTTCTGTGTTCTAGAACACATTTTTAACCTTTATTAATGCCTCTTAATTCTGTATTAGTAAGGAGTAATTCTAGCTCGTGTATCGTAGGGTTACGGTGAGCATTAAATGAGGTAATGTATATAAATTACTAAAAATTATAACATAAGTGTATACTATATAAATTTGTTATTTAGTAAAATGAAAATGGTCAGTTTTTCTCAGTGACAATTCCTAGTGTTTATTACTTTATTTAGTTTTACAGTTATATCAAGATCACACATGGGGATGTACCTCAAAAGTAGAGTGCTTGCCTAGCATGTATGAGGCCATGGAGTCAATTCCCAGCACCACACACACAAAAATCACACATACTATCTACATAATTACAACTTGAGTCTTATAATTTATTCTACAATAATGAAATTAAGCCTCAAAGAATATTCCTATATTGCCTGGAATGGTGAGGGTTTACTATATTTCTAATAGATAAAAGGATCCTTTGTATTTGAAAGTTATAAATCCTAAGGATGGAATAGGAAAAAGGACATCTTTAGGATATTCTGGTTTATTTTGTTACAAGTGATTGTTTCTGTACTAAAAGGCAAAAAACATGAAGTGTTAACTATATTGTTAAAATGTGTTAGATTATGTCTCATAAAAAATCCTTTCTATTTTTCAGATCCCCTTGGAAAGGACTTCCAGAACTGACCAATGAGAATGGCCAGTATTGTCCTTTCAGCTGTGAGACACAAGCCTGGTCAATTGCTGTTATTCTTGAAACACTTTATGATTTATAGTTGGTTCAGATATATTTAATAAATATACAACTTCATTATGCAATGCAAGATCATAATGCAAATGCCTATGTATACAAATTCAAGTTTTTAAAAAAATCTTTCATATAATATTGATGCCCAATTGGGTAAGATTATAAAAGCATTGATTTATCTTTTTCTTTTTAATGTATGAAGATAGCTTTCAGTTTGAATAAGAGAAAAATATGATTACCAACAGAATTTTCTTTTGAGTTCATTAAGTATTCCTTGAAATCCAGCGTTAGGAAAAGAAAACCTATATAATCTTAATTTTCTACAAAAGTAAAAATGGAAAAGTATCTTTAAATTGTGGTATATATTCAGGAACAATACATACTGAACAGGCTGTGGATAATTAACATTCTCACCATGTACTATGACTTTTTTTTTTTTTTTTTGGTACAGGGGATTGAACTAAAGGGGCACTCAACGACTGAGCCAGCCCTATGTTTTGTATTTTATTTAGAGAAAGAGTTTCCTGGAGTTGCTTAGCACCTGTCTTTTGCTGAAGCTGGCTTTGAACTTGCAATCCTCCTGCCTCAGCATCCCGAGCTGCTGGGATTACAGGCATGCACAACTGCACCCGGCCTGTGACTGCCTTCTTAATACCTTATTCAATATATATTTCAGAAGTGCTTCATGAATGTAGAATTATCAACATTTCTACCATATATGTTCATAAATGAAGCACAGATGTTCAAACTGTGATATTATTTTTTCACTGATGTATCAATATGTTTTCAAATGTTATGAATGTCAATAGTTTATTAAAGACAACTGACTTGTGCTAATGATGCATAGACTGGGAAAAAAGCAGAACATTAAGAAATTGATTTCATTAAAAACAGTTTTGTAAAATTAGCCTCAAGTTCCAGTTTCCTGTTATATGAGATGACTTACATTTTCAAAATAGAAATTGTTGGACATATTTATGAGAACTTTCAAGAAGACAAGAATGTTATATTAATTTTTTTTTTTTTTTTTTTTTTTTTTTTAAAGAGAGAGTGAGAGAGATAGAGGTAGAGAGAGAGAGAATTTCTTCTTAATATTTATTTTTTAGTATTTGGCGGACACAACATCTTTGTTTGTATGTGGCGCTGAGGATCGAACCCGGGCCGCACGCATGCCAGGCGAGCGCGCTACCGCTTGAGCCACATCCCCAGCCCCTATATTAATTTTTAAAACTTGATAGCTCTCTCTAGTTTCTGTGCAAAAGTCTATTGACAGAGCATAATAAATACTGGTTTCTGTTAATGAAAGCCTACATTGACAAGTTCAGTATTCAGAACAATCTATTTTTTTTTTTTTTTTTTTTTTTTTGGTACTGGGGAATCAAACCCAGGACCTCATACATACTAGGCAAGCACTCTACCACTGAGCCACATTCCTAGGCTGACAACAATCTTAATATAATAAAAGTATAGATACAAATTCAGTAGTTATCTTGAATCCAATAAAATAATTTGAAACATATTTTGTTTTAAGATACCTTAAACTTGAAAATGACATAAAAGTGAAAAGGTTTTTAACATTTATAAGAATTTACATTTTTGAATAGCACTTATTTCCTAGATGGAATTTTTTTGTACTATTTTTTTCTCAAGAGTAAATTAATTATATCATTATACTTTTGTTTGGGAGAAAGTAGTTGTAAAAATCCTTTCATTACTATTTAATATTATTCAGGGATATGTATGTTTATATATAAAATAATGAACTTTTCTCAAGAGATGATATACCTAACAACCTAAGAAATGAAAATAAAGATAGGCATTCAAGGCACAACTTCTAGTACCAAAATCTATAAGTGCATCAAATGTCAAATGCCCATGTTGAAAGGCTCATGCAGTTTACTGCAGGATTACCTACCCACCCTTCTGCAAAGCTGACCCTGCTTTAGAAATAGTTTTCACTAGCTTAGTTTTCTGGTACCTAACCTAGAGCAGATTAAGTCCTACAAATTCAAGGAAGCTTGTGATAGTAATCTGACCACTATTTATAAACAAGAATTTCCAGATTTTCCTTTTTTCTTCATTCCCTCCCTTACTCAGTATATAACCTCCTCTAAACTTTGGAGGTAAATGGAATGACCTTAGCCAGGCCTAGAAACCCATACTGGTTATCCCAGCAACTCAGGAGTCTGAGGCAGGAGGATCACAAGTTCAAGTCCAGCCTAGACAACTTAGTGAGACCCTGTCTCAAAAAAATGAAAAGGACTAGAGATGTAGCTTAGTGACAGAGCACCACTGGGTTCAATCCCCAGTACTGGGGGTGGGGGAGAATGACTTTCCTTGAGGGAACTATTAGTTCATCCAAGGTTTATGTAGCTATGTGCTCTACCCTAACAATACAGGAAATAAGAAAGGTAACAGAAAACCTGCATATGTAACTAAAGCAAGAACTGACAGCTGGCAGTTAAATGTGACTAAATAAATAACAAGATGATGGTTTTTAAAAAAATAGATATGCTAGTTTATCTACTGTAGGGGAAATACCCATCTTGGTAAATCTTTTGGATATTGCATTCTTAATTAGGAGTATTAATGAAAGAACATTGTCATATTATGCATGGTCTGCTTTATAGTTTAAAAAGGCATGTTGTGAGCTAGGGATGTAGCTCACTAGTAGAGTGCTTGCTTAGAATTTGCAAGGCCCCTTGGTTAGATCCCCCACATATCTCTCTCTCTCTCTCTCTCTCTCTCTCTCTCTCTCTCTCACACACACACACACACACACACACACACACACACACACACACACACACATTGGGGAAAAGACAAAGAAGAAGAAGGCATGTTCTGCATTATTCCATCCATGGTAGTTAAAGTAACACTTTTAGACTTTAGAAGGATAAATGCCATTTGACTGAAGAACATTTATGTAGAATGCTTCATTCCTGTGCAACACTGGATAAGCTGTTATTATATTACATTTTGACAATGGTCTGTGCCTTGGTTTTTCGTTAATCCAAATCAATCTGAACCCTTCAAAATGAGAATGAAACTTGCCACTTTTACCAGTGTGCTGTGATATTTTAGTAACTTTTCAAAGGTAATTAAGGAAACATGAAACTTATCATATGTATCAATATTGTAATATGAATTGTAATCCATTCTGATATCAGTCTTATGCTGCTGTATCTACTGGGCAAATGTCATTTATATCTCTGTGTGCCAAGAAAATAAAATGTTTTCTAAAGGACTGTGTTTTGATTTCCTTACATCATTTTCCAAATAACTTGACATTTATTAAGTACTTACTTATTTGGGTGCTTACCTTTTTGATAGGATGTGTGGGGACAGAGAAAGAAGAATTTTAAGACATTTGATAATTTAATTAGTCATGTCAAAATTTGGAGCTAATTAAACTCTTGATGTATAAATAGATCTATTAGCAACTATGCACTCCTCTTGTATGTCTTCAATATCATGAACTTTTTATTTTCCTTTCAACTTATTAAATGCAAATACTACATGCCAAGTAGACATACATACATAGTTTCTACTGAAGTAACCAATAAAGATTTTGTCACTTTTATATTATTTTACTGAATAATATATATGTGTGTATATGTATAACCTAAATTGATATTTTTAACTTTTGCCTTAAGTAGTATTGCTTCATTTTTCTAATGTAGATATATACCTTTATCTTCAGATAAAAGGTCTTAACCTAAAAATCTAAACCTGTAACTGTCAAATGGTTTAAGGTTAACTTATCAAACTTGCTAACTTTACTTATTTAAATCCTCAATGTGTTGATATAATGAACTCAAGGAATTTGCTTAGTGGTTTATTGTTTTTGTTTTTTCTATTTGTATGGGCCTTGAATTATAAAATTATAAAGCAGTATTGAAATCTTGTCATTTCGGCTGCAACTTTTTTTTTTTTTTAGAGAGAGAGAGAAAGGGAATTTCAGTATTTATTTTTTAGTTTTCGGCGGACACAACATCTTTGTTTGTATGTGGTGCTGAGGATCAAACTCAGGCCACAGGCATGCTAGGTGAGCGCACTACCGCTTAAGTCACATCCCCACCAGCCCCAACTTTTTTCCTAATATTTGTTTTCTTAATATATTTGGTTTTGTTATTTTGGCTAGGAGAATTTTTTGTTTAACTCACAAAGGCTTTTAAGTTTTCTTTAATCAAATCTTTAATTTTTACTTATCTCTTCTCTCCATTCAAATTTTAATCAGACACACACAATTTAAACATTCCTTCTATTTTCCTTTGGGCTTATGGGTTTTTAACAGTTATATCTGATAAACACTTAGGTAAAAATCACTTAGGTTTTTTAAAAATTGTTGCACTCTAAATTCAAGTTAAATATGTTTATGGTAATGCCTTTTTTCAGTCATTGAATTTTTTTTAATAGTAGGACCTACATTTAGGGATTATTGTTGAAGTTATCTGCCTACACATTCACTTAACTACTGTAGTTTTTGTTTTAATATTTATTAGTTTTTTTCTTATCACCTTACTTTCTAACCAATTCCCTACTCTTCATTTTTCAGAATTTTCTTATATATTCCCAACTTGGCATTCTTATGTATTTTTCAAATCCAAAAACTATTAGTCTTTTTCACTAAGTACATTTAATAAGAACTAACATAATTACAATATTTAATTTTATGTAAGAACATAGAATGTTTGGGATTTTTTTGTTTGGTCTAGTTTTTTGTTTGTTTGCTTTTGCTTGCTGCAATTCTTCCTAATTTTTATGTTTTGGTTGTTCAAAGCTATTTTAGTTCAACTGATAGCCTATTAGTCAAAATAAGAAATTCAAATACAAGGCTGAAAAGGTACATGTGAAAGTATGTATGAGAATACGTGTATAGACACACACACACATACACACACATATAAATACATATATGTGTGTGTGTGTATAGATATATATATATATATATATATATATATGTTTTGAAGTAGGGAAAGTTTTAATGTGAGTCATATGAATACACTTATTAAATTTGGTGATGAATGTGTATATAGGAATATATAATAATATATATGCAAATATACCATTGATAATTGTTATGACAAAATACACATAATATTTATAATATATGCTTTTATGTAAAATGAAGTTTAGGTTTAGGATAAATTGTATCTAGGAATATATAATGATGTATATACCTTTGGTATATACATTGGTAATTGAACATAGAACTCAAATATACTGAATATTCATATGAATATATATGCTGACGTGTATAATTAGGTTTAGGTATAGTGGTAAGATTTAGTACTAAAGTTTGGGTTGAGTTAAGGTAGAGGGTTGGGGAACGAATCTGTATATTGAGAAACATCAATATTCATAAGAATGTATGCTTGAAAATATGTATCAAATCTTATATAAACATGTTTTGAAATAGGAAATTGTTTTATGTGATGCTTATGAATACACTGCAAAAATCCACTGTATGGGAGTCTTCTCATACTCTCTGAGATGTTGTATTCCGTCTAGGTAAGACCTTGTGGAGAAACTGCCTCCATCTAGGTAAGACCTTATGGAGAAGCTGCCTGTCTGCTTTCTTGGTTTCATGCTACAGAGCAGCCAGAAACAGGACCACCTCTATTCTGCCATCTTGGATCTGCCCAAATAATTTTATTAGGGAGAACTGAGAAGACCCTTCTAAACAGATGGTGATAATAGAAGGATTATGCACCTGTTAAATCTCTAAGGACCTATACATTGAGAATGTGTAGCACATCTGACCCCTTTAGTTACAATAATAGATAGCCCCTTCCACCTTGCTTAGAAGAAGATAACACCCTCCAGATGTCAATAGAGTATATATGTAGGTATGGGTGCCCCATGGACAACAGGGAATTCACAGACTTTCAAAATCATGTAAAGTTCCCCT